TTTTAGAATTCTAAATAACTAGAAAATGTTTCTTTACACTAATTTTTTATTGCTACCGTTTCAACGAATACTTTGGTCCCTTTCTTTGCTTATTCCCAAACCGACGACACAAATTCATTTAGCGTGGCACAAAAGCAATTGATTGAAATCAAATGATGGTGAATTTTCAAAATTCAATTTGTATATTCATTTGATTTTAAATGATTTCAAGAGACGAAAAAAAACTTATATTTTGAGATATGTATGTTTTATTTAAATGAATAAGAGGAATACTCAAAGAAATATGTGTGATTACATGTTGGGAGTTGAATTGGAACTGCACCAAAGTAGGGAAGAGCATATACAAAATTCGACATTCTTATCGATATTCCGGTTTTTCAACAAATATTAGTAGGCAATATCAACGTTATTTGAGATAGGCAAAGAATTCAAGGGAAAACGTTCATGAGTCTAGTCTTGGCCCAAAATGCACATAAACATATTATTACCCATATGTTTTTTGTGCGGTGGAACGAAGCCCGCCGCGTTGCACAGGCGAGATAGTGCACACAGCATTAGCGAGAGCACTGTACTGCTCTCGCTTTTACACACACTGCAATGCGTACGTACGTAGAAGCCCAGAGCGCAGAGCGCAAATACACACACACACACACACACACACACACATTTGTACGCATGTTACAACGACTGAGTGTACGCATTGCAGTGTGTGTTAGAGCGAGAGCAGTACAGTGTGCTGTGCTGCTCTCGCTAATGCTTTGTGAACTATCTCGCCTGTGCAACGCGGCGGGCTTCGTTCCACCGCACAGAAAACATATTATTAATGTATGCACTGATTTGCTGCAAGCGTTATATTTGAATGTATGTTGCATTGATAAGAAGATACAATGAAAATACATATAAGATTAAAATATGATTCGATAATATGTTGATATTACTATATGCTATCGTTGATACGCATGAACATATTGCATAGCAACTTATTTTGTACTAAAAAAAAAAGCAACAATACACCAAATAACTAACCACTTATCATATCTGTATATTTGTTCAGTCGAAATTTATTTTCATAATTTCCGCTTATGATTTCATAGCGAACAACATTATTTGGCTGTTTGGCATCGGTATCAGCATCGATTGCCTTTACATACGCTGGTATTGTTAAGTTTCGAAGATGGCTTTTCAAAAATTGGTGCATTATCATTCACAGTGCCGTCATTGTAACGTGCTTCAATATATAAATGATATTCTTCCAACATTTCTCTATCGAATGATTATCCGTTGATATAATGATTAAACCATTGTCCGAATTGAGATTTGACGATGTATTCAAATAGCCCAATATTTGTGTGTATCGTATTCGACCACCAGCACCTGTATCATATGATGCGACACCATATTCGTTTCATTTCGTTCAGCTCTCACACTAGCACATCTTTACTATGACCTTTTATTTCATTGATGAAAGACCAAACACAGACCTAGAGTGTTTTTTCATTTTTATTTTCATTCGTTATGTGCGCACATAATATAATCACATATGTATAATCAGTATTTCCATTCTTTCATTCCTCATTCGCGCGCATGTAATTACATACGTTCTATTTTTTTTTTCATTCTCAATCACACTCATTCAATTTATCATGCACTTGACTTCTTTTAGTTCTAAAGAAGAAAAAGGTAAGAGCGAGTAAGTGAATGTATGAGCGTATGTAGTAGTTACAAGAATGAGTGTATCGAGAGCGGAGCATTGTCAATATAAATGCATTGTATTGGTGACAAAACTACAGGAAAACGCCATCTGTAAATAACATATTGTACTACAATGTAAAGTAATGTGACTTGAGAAAAAAGAAAAAAGAAGAACAACAATCTTACACATTGCTTTACATTGTATTACAATACGTATACATAGATGGCGTGTTTTTGGATCTGTCAAACAGTGCTCGCCTCTCGGAGTGTATGCTAATTAATAAACAATTTTTTCTTTTGCTTCCACAACTACTTGGTGTTTTAGAAGTAATTATTGCAGGATGAAGCGTACAAAAGTATACTACCAATGCAATCAATGGAAGAGTTCTGAAATATCGGAGCGGAAAGTAAAAGCAATTTATTTGTTACAACATATTAAAAGCGACAGTTATCCAAATATTTACCGAGGCTCGAACCAGACCTGATAAATATTGATAAGTTGAAAATAATTGGTGAAAAGGCTTGTTGCATCAAATTGCATTGTGTTGCGTCGATATATGGGTTGACAACCACTTTGATTACGTTAATGCATATGCAAAAGGGGAGCAACACACCGGACCGAATTGAATGTCGTGCAAAAACCAATTTTGCTCTGTTTATTTTTTTTCGCAACAATTTAATGTGAAGCCAAACTGATTAGTGTGTTTCATGTACATTCTTCTCTCTCTATCTTCTACACGATTGATGTTCAATCCATCATTTTGTCTCTTAATGTATGTATATCTACATTGAATTGACGTCAACGCGCATACCAATCATTTGGCAAACATACACAAATACACATTAACGCTATCGTTTTCTTCTTCTATTATTATTCAATATAAATTTTAGCAACAGTTCCAGAAAAAAAACCGGCTTTTAAAAACAGAGGATTTAATCTAGCAATTAAAATCCAAATTGATTCACGCTCCAGCCGATGTTTATTGACTTTTGCGGATTTTCAGACGCTATTTTGGTCATACAAAGTTGTTTGGAAATTTCACAACGGTTCAGATACAAATCTTTCCGTTCATTCATTCATCACGCTACGTCGTGTGTTGTTATTACTGTTGTTGAGATTTTCTTAACTCGCGCCAATTGAATGAAACGATGTTGAAAATAGCCGCGCGCAATCCATTTATAATGACAAATTTGAGTCGACAATTCAAACAAATGATAATGTTGTTTGCAAACCTCTACGTTCTACACCGCTTACCAATATATATCCAATTTAAGCTGGTGATAATAACAAACAATGGCCGCGTGCGCGAACAATATACCAGCTTTCAGAGTCGCTTTCTTACTGACTCAAGTCTGGGATCGTTTGATGTGCACGAATGGAGCAGAAAAAACCAATTCCAGAGAAATAAGATCGATCATAAAATGAGTCAAATCACAGAATTAATAGTGGCATGACTTTGATTAGCATTAATTTGAAGCGATTTACATGCATCTGATTAGTTGCCGCCACTACTGTGATAATCTGACCGACTTCACCATTTTTTTTCCTATTTCGCTCGTGTCTCTTGATCTCATTTTTCTTACAACTCTGTATCAATATGATCATGGATTGGACTTGAAAATGGGCCTGCATTCGCGCGTGCTCTATGAGTCTTATGACATTTCCGTCGACTTATGCACTAGCTCAATCTTATCATGAATGATGACATGAATACGTCAAATAGATGCATAAAAATAGACCAAACAACATCCAATTGCACTCAATCCAATGCGATTCTCAATTGAGAGTAATGCTAAAAATAGACACAGTGGCATATCCCGTCCAAATAAATTGCGAAGCCACATGAAAAAATGACCGAAATGTTTTTTTTCGAGGCCAAAAACATAAACGCGTGACAAATTTGTCTTTTGTTTGGAACAAACCCCACACACATCAAACGAACATATATGTTTAATTTATTGCAAGACTTAATAAATTATTATGTTCCGATTTGCACGGGACAACACATAATGCTGAAGTCGATTTTTGTTGAACATTTAACATTTGTTATTTAATGGATAATTTTAACAAATAAATGAATTTAATTTATATTTTTTTGAAATGAAAAACCAATTTGTTTGAATCTATCTATACGTTGAGATTGAGAGCTTTGATAATTTAATTTTCAATTGTATCGATATCATGACACATTTACAGGGCCGATTATGCAACGTGTGTGTAGGTAAAGTCTATATTCTAAGTTCAAAATTAATTTAGTCTAGAGTAATTTGAACAGTCTCCATTCTAATAATAATTAATGCATATGATTTCGAATTTCACGGGAAAGAACTATCATTTACATATAGGTACTACTTCCACTCATGCCATTACTAACCGATTTCAACTAAAAAAAGGAAGAATTTGTTGCTGAAAATCGGAGTCATATGTTGATGCTGATTTAGTTTTAGTTTGCTTTTGAATAGATTAATCGAAAATGTATACTTAAGTAATTTTTGGAACAGAGAAACCATCGCCACAAATTGATATCAATATTGAACCGAAGCAATATTGATTCTAACGAGACATGATTGATACAAACAAACAACAATTCTGACTTTGTTTTTGTCTCTAATTAATTAATTGTTTTTGTTTTGATGGTTTTTTTCCTCCTCATAAATGTAATTTCAATAATCTTGACAAACAAAAACCCTTCCGTTCTGTTTGTTGTTAAATTTCCATTCAATATAGATTAAATTACTTCCCAGTGTTAACTTTTGATTTATATTTATAGATAGAGTACAGAGTACACAATGTATAGTAACATACCTACTACCATCCTTATATATTCCAGTTGTCTAAAGTACTTACAATAGCTTCTTTTCATACGTGCGATAATCGTTCAGTCAAAAGTTCATTCAACCACGCCTCCTATTGTAATTTAAGGCCTTGACCATGATTATATGCCGTTCGGTGCATTAGAGGATGAATATCCTCTCATTAAATGATTTAATCCAAAATTATACACACAAAATAGCGTGCTACAATATAATCATGGTTCATTATACTTGTGAATTGTGCTTAAAATGTATTTTTGATAAGACTAGAGATAGGCAAAGATAAGTGATTAGATTACCCTGAAGTTTACTTTTCATTCAGATATCAAAATATAGAAAAAAATCTTACTTACTTAGATAGTTTGAAAAAAGGTGTAGAGGACCTGTAGTCATATGTTGAAAGATGCTGAATTTGTCGCTCAATTTTTGACTCCTTAGCCTTAGAGTTTAAAATTACCGAAAAAATGATATAAAAATAAAAAAGAACAATAAAATTAAATAAATGAATATATAATTTAAAATTTATTTGAACTTTTCTTATTTAAATCTATGTACATATCTCATCATAAAATATCCATGCGGATTCATTTTTTCTTTTGTATAAAAAGCAACAATCAATTTTAAATTAATGGAATTGACTTGTGATTTGAGCATGACTTCAATTCTTATTACTAGTGGCGCTATTCATATTGAATTTATTGATTCGCTGCTGAACCTGACTTAATTTCGAATTGGCATTTAAATCGATGGCTTTGTAGCTGTTTGAACATTGAGAATCAGCTACGCTTCGACCATCCCCTTCGTCTCGTTTGGAAAAATCCGAATATGGACTATTTCCTCGTTTCAATGAATTCGATGTGATTGACGTTGATCCATTGTCATTTTCAATAACGTTCGGTGTTTCGTTGTCTTTCCCATTAAAATTGTTTCCCTTCGATTCAATGAGATCAACACTGCAGAGTTCGCTGGACGGTGCCGTTGGCATCGTTCCATTCAAATTGTTTAACCATGGTTTCGATACCAATTTTTGTGTTGCAGTCTTACACTGGCACATCATATCCGATGGATTATTGCAAACGTCACAGTGATCTTGTCCCGTTGATTCGCCAACATACAACGCCAACGATGAGTTTAAATTTATATCCGAAACGGTTTCTGATGAATTAACCTTTTTAATTGTATTGGTTTTTGTGTCGTTTTCTTCATAGTTTTTGCTCAACAAAAGCTTCGATAAAGGTGGTGCAAGTCCTAGATCCATGTTTCGTTCATAGTATACATCGGAAATTGTTGGTGTCATTTCACGGTTAATCTTTCGCAATATCAAATCTTGAATGTTTTTGTTGTGCGATGACAAATTTGGTTTATTATTCTCTTTGGCGCTGTTCGCCTTCAGTGTCAACGAAATGTCTTTGTGCTGTGATTCAATTCGATGATCAATCACATCACTATCCGATGATGAGAAGTATAAATTGTTCGCATTGAATTTAAACGGTAGCGTTGTTTCGTGATCATCCGGAATTTGCAGTTGCTTACGCGCGGCTGCCATCGGGATGATGTTTGTCGTATTCTCGGTTCGAACACTCAATCGATCCATCAATAGACATTCTTCTGAAATATTGCGAGTCAAAATTGATGGCGGTTGTATGGTCTTTTGCATGGTATTACGATCGCCCCTGGAGTCATATACTCTTTCAAATTCTGAATCGGAGCTGGTTGATTCGATGGCATTGTTGCTTCCCTTGTTCTTGCCATTCAAATTGTTGAATGGAATTGATGGAGGCTGTGGTCGTAAGCTCTCAACCAGTGGAAGCATTTGCCGTGGCGGTGGCATCGGTGGCAAGCCATTCGGTTGATTTTGTTGTGATCGACGTAAAACTGTCGCATGTCCGGAACCATCCCAGTCATTGGTTGAACTTGCTGAACTTGAACTATCATCAGGGCGTTGAGATGGAATATGCGGGTCATTTGATTGAGTGTTTATTGCATTCGATGCTGCCGAGTACAAGTTCCGAATCCGCGTTTGATGCGCCAACGCCATTGAAACGTTGCTATCAACATGCTGCAAAGTGATGGGTGGACTTGGAGTGAATGCAGCGTCGCTTTCACCACCACCACCTGGCCGTGCACACACTTTAATCGGTGCACGTAGATTGGTGTAATTGATTTTGTTTGGCTTGATTTCAAACCTATTCACACCTTGTGTGGAGTATCCATCGGAAATATCGCTGTCCGTATTCAATTCAATGTTTGTTAGCATTGATGGTACAGTTACGCTTATTTCTCTGCCTCCATCGGGTTCGCCACGCTTTCGAACGTATGACGTGAACGCACTGCCACTTCCAATCAATGGACGGTGGCTCGGTATCATCGGTCTTGGCAATTTGAGATTCAACGATTTCACAGTTCCAACCGGTGAAATGCTACGCTGTTGACTGCTCGTAGTTGTGCCCGGTATTGGGCTCATTGTATTCGATCGATTATCTTGTCGTGACTCTTCATTGAGAGACTCACAACTGCTGCTCGAATCGATTCCGATACTTTTCGGCGCTTCTTGTGGTTCGAACAGAGCCAAAAGTGCTTGCAACACAAATTGACAGGTGCGACGATTCGCTTGTTTTCCAGTTCGCAAAGTCACTTGATCCTGGCCCACCTCCATTAAATCGAAACCAAGTGAAGCAAGCAGCTCATGGCAGCCGGAAACACGCCACAATCGAACAGTTAATGTGACATCAATGCTTGTGTCTAACTCTGGACTACCCTTAGGGGGATATTGTGACACAACCGTTCGCATAACGCCTATGATTTCATCAGCTATTATATCGGCATTATTCACGAGTTTCGAGAGAGCATGAAGAGTATTTGGTGATAAGGCTAGCAACGCCTGAAGAGATGCAGAGCATTGAGAAAGACGCTCATCCGGGTTGGTTTGCGGAAAGAATACACTCGACGGTATTCCATTCGCAGCTGGCTCAAATCTAAAAAATGTATCGAAGGAAGAACGTTGAGTCAATATAAAGTTCATTTTTGATGAAAATAAAAGACAGGAAAGGGTGGGTTTATTACCTAAATCCAACAGCCATTAACAATTCTTTCCAACCATCGGCAATGCCACATTTATTCTCAATACTTTTCTGTGTGGTGTACATAGCGTTCTTTTGTCCTCTATGGATACGTTGCAGACTTTTTTCAACCTAATCGAAAAAAGAAATATCGATTGAGCAGATGAAACACATGATGCCAATAATAATGAGTAACAATGCACCACAATATACTGGATAATATGCTTACCAAATGCAAACAGACTCGAAGTGCATCGCGACATTTTTCTGGTGTCTTAACCAATTCACACAATGCCTGTCCGATTAGGGCTACTTTGTTTGACAATCGTACATTTCCACCGATCAAGAGAAAACCAGCCCAGTTGCTTGGGTGCGCAAAGTGTTTAGTATGCTGAACCGTTTGCATTGCCTCGGCCAACGCTCTGGCCGATCTAGCTCCCTGGAGAAGGGCTGAGTAGAAACTCTGGATTTGAAAAGAGTTTGAAAAGAGAAAGCAGAATGTTTAATTAAACAAAGGTTAAGTACAGTGAATCACTTTCAGTGGTTGGGACAATTTTGAGGTGGTATTCCTTTAATATTCTCCGATTTGAAATCAATTTTACTTACTCTGAGGAGAATTTTTGCAGCGGTATCGGGAACGGGCCATAGCGATAGTAACACTGCCGCCGCTCCTGCCCGTAACCAACTGTCTGATAAATTTGCCACACCAATGCTATCAATCTTGTCCAATGAATTGTGAGCACTCAAAACGATTAATTTTGCATTGAGTTTCAAATTGTTGATGTTGTCCGCTGTTAGTACAAAATCGTTTAAGGATGGAACGTCCACATTATTATTTCCATTCAATTCATTTCCCTCGTCTTCGGTGTCGATTTCATTATTCGTTCCGCCATTGTCATTGCTGCCTGGATAGAAACGTTTGTGCGATGGTGAATACACTATATCGCCTGGATTCAATACAATTCCAGACATTTTCCATGTTAGAGCAGCTGCAAAGTGTACACACTCTGCCGTTGCTAACTCGGTTAAAACATTATTCTTGGTGGCATTTGACCCAACTAGTGTTTTTGCTTGCAGCATATCCGAAACCATGGCCGCTTCTTGCAAACTAGTTGCAGATTCTGTCCAAGTAATTGAGTCAGTGAGTGATGATGGAATGCGAGGACCAACTACCAATGCACTTGTTGTTGTGCCATTTGTTGATTGATTACGGGTTTTTATTCGGCTCTTTTGGCGCAAAGTTTGCAGCGAAGGCACAGTTAACAAGGAACATCTTTCCGATAAGTACTCAGCTCCATCTTGACCGCTTCGCAATACCGCAAACGGTATCAAATACAATTCATTTTCCAGCACCAAAATCATCTCTTTGTAACCAGTTCTAGGAGCTAAAATCGAAAATTGTACGAAAAATAAATTCATCAATCGGTTTGTTTGGAAGTGACTTAACCCATTAATTGCCGCTTAACAATTTTTCGAATTGAGCGCATAACTTTTCATTAGTTTGATAAGAAGAAGTTTTTTTTTTGAGTTTGTAGCTTTCATTATATGCCTATTTACATTTAATTTAATAAAAATATTTAACTTGAAAACCCTGTCTGAAAAAAACTTCAAATATGGCTGGCAGTTAATGGGTTAAGAAATAAACATTTACGTACTTGATGAACTATTTGGCAATAAGTCTTCAAATGGTGCCAGCAATAAATTGTATAGAGCGTGTAATGAACTTGGTCCCTGCCATTGCGGTACCAGTGAAAAACCACGGCGTGATCTGGTCGATCCTTGAAGACTGCTTATTGATCTGAAAATTAAGATTGTGTAGCTTTATAATATTGAACTCGTTACAAATAAAAATGTCGCTTTTGTCTTCATTTTTCGATAATCTCTTAATTTACACCCCAAAAATTACCTTGTTGACCCTTGAAGGGAGGCCACTGAACCGCCGACACTTCCCAGTGAAAACAGTGAACTCAACGAGTAATTGCTTGAGTTTAACAGATGATTTCGATTAACCATCCGTAAGAAGCCAGCGCGTTCACTAGCAAAATCATCTAGCAAATTTTCGGATGATCGCCATTCGCTTATCTCTTGTGAATTGTCTGAATTAACACCTAAATCGTCTCGTACCATTGAAATATAACTCTCTAGGAGCTCTCGTTTGCTCAACGTCTTCATAAAATCTTCCGTTTGGCCATGAAGTGGGAAATTGAGTTCGTTCACTTTGATTGCGTTGAAACGAACGATTCGCTTTTGCGGTTGCAAGAACCACGCATACAATTCATCATCGGCCAAACTGAAGTAGATGATATTTGTTTTTGATTTGTTGACAACATCAAAAATGCTTTCGCTGCAGGTGACAAGCGTTTTTCTTGTCAAGTTACTTGTATCTAAAGTGGCACGTGATTTACACCGTTCAGCAGCCACCAAAGCCTCTTCATTCTTGCCCATTCCCACCAAAATCTTTTGCAGCAAATGATAGCACTTTGTCTGTAAATCATATAAATGTTGTTTGGCTTCAGGCGAACGCTGTTCGAATCGAACAGACTCGAGAATTTGAGCTGCGGTTTCTAATTGAGACCGAGCATTTTCATTATCACCCGAATCAATTAGCACCAAACCGAGGCGATGTCTTATTTTAGCTTCTTCTTCCGATTTGTTCAACGATTGCGATATAACAAGACCTTGACGAAGGAAATTAATCGCTTTTGTTGATTCACCAATCGTATGGAATACTCTGCCCAACGATTCACATGCATAGACTTTTGTCAAGCGATCGGATGCCAGTTGAAGTTGCTTCTCAAATTGTCTTATGGCTTCGTTGAAATTATTTAATTTCTCGTATACTGATCCTAAATTACCGCAAGACCGTGCTTGTAGACTGGCATTTCCGAGGCTTTCACATAGCTCTTGGTCGTGCAAGTGAAGTTTCTTTGCGGCTTCCAAGTCATTCATTTGCAGGAACACTTGACCCAAACTGCTCGTTGCATCCGAAATGGCATATCGATCATTAAGATCTTGAGCAATATTTCGTTGATGTTCCAAACAATTCACCGCTTGCTCATGATTTTTCAACGCACTGTGAATATTACCTACATTTTGAGTGGAAAAATGGAATTGTTGAATATAATTAACCAATGAAGTTGACATGAAAAAATCATTCTTTACCCAAATCTCCAAATGCAGCTGCTTTAGCTTCATTTCCAAGCTCATGTGCCACAACGAGCCGCTTTTCTGAGTAAACTAACGCTTCTTGCAAATTTCCAAGTGATTTATGACTATGACATAATCCACTGTAAGCTCGTTCTTGGTCACGTAAACTTTGCAAGGCAATAGCAAGTTTTAGATGTCTTTCATGGCATTTGATGCCTTCTTCAAAATCGTTGAGTGCATCATAACAATCAGCCAGATGGCCTAATGCACGTGCACGGTCAAGTTGAGCTGTTGATGAATTAACTCGCTCTAATGTGCCAAGTTGCTGCTCTAAATATCCAATGGCATCTTCATAGAAACCGCTTTATAGAATCACAAATTAATCAATCGTTTGATTGTGTTGAATTGAGAACAAAGATCAATTTACCTATTCAATTTAGCGATACCAAGATTTCCGAATGCCTCCGCCTCAATTGCTGAGTCATGTAAGTCTTGTGCTCGTTCCAGTTGCTCTTGATAACACTTTATTGCATGCGTATAGTTTTGTAGTGCCATGTGAACTGCACCCAAATGTGACAATGCACGACACTCGCCTGGATAATGGTAAAAATGAGAAATAAAAATGTCGAAAAATCAAATTAAGTAAAAGCAAGTTTATATGAATTACCCAGCATGTCGCAAATCTCTTGTCGCAGTGTCAACTCTTGAGTGTGATATCCAAGGGCTTTGTCGAATTTTTTCATCAAACGATTGGCCAGTCCAAGAGCACCATACGATGTCGCTTCCATAGTTCTTTCCCTATATTGACGGGCTAACGCTAATTGTCGCTGATACATTTTTGCCGCTTCTTCAATTTGACCCGTTCGGATTAAAACATCACCGATATTACCTGTTGATTGAAATGAACGTATTTTTTTGATTATTTCCAGCCTTCACATTTGTACCAGTACGATTTTTCTCTTGCTCTGAATATAATTATCACTCAATGATTACCTAATGCTCTGAATTTTCCCGGCAAATGATTTGTCATGTGTGCAATGGCTAAGAAATACTTTTGGCACTCTAAAGCCGCACTGGTGTTGTTCAATCCCAAATGAGCCAATCCCAAATTGCAATAGGCTCGTCCCATATTCATTTTATCTTGTAAGTCTTTCGCCAGCGCCAAATCTTGATCGTAATACCGAACTGCTTCGCGATACATATCCATTCGATAGTGGGCATATCCCAAAAAATGACACGCTTTCCCTTCAGCTGCAATATCGCCGAGTTCTTGCGACAACATCAGATATTGTTTATAATATGGAATTGCTTTTAGAAATTCTTGACGTGAACTTAGGCAATTGCCAAGATTTAATAAAGCACATGCCTCGCCTTGTGTATCCTTCAATTCTCTGGCAATGTTCAAATGAGCTTGATAATGTATTAAAGCCATATCATAAGCACCCAATGCCTATATATATACACACACACACAAAAAGGAGTTGTGAGAAAAGGAGAAGAATCAAAATTAAATTCCCTCTATTTTACCTGATATGCCACGGCCAGATTTCCGTGTGTTGATGCTTCAGCACTTCTGTCGCGAACCTCTTTGCTAATGGTCAACTCCTGTTTGTGATATTTGATTGCCGCTTCGTACAGTCCGGCGGCTGAATATGCGTTGCCAATATTTCCAAACGCTCTGCCCATACCACCTTTATCGGAGAGTGTCCGAGCAATGGTCAAATGTGCCTGATGCAATTTCAATGCACCATCATAGTCTCCAATCAATTGGTATACAATGCCAAGATTACTACAGGCACGACCTTCGCCAATTTTATCTCTGGCTGCCAATGCCATCTCCAATTGTTTTTCATGCCATTTTTTTGCTTGCGTAAAATCATTGCCACATCGTGCTGCATGACCCAAGCCAGCATAAGCTCGAGCTTCAATTGATTTATCACCTAAATTTTGAGCGATTCGCAGAACTTGTTCATGAAAAATGATTGCTTGTGAAAAGTTTCGCCGGTAATGATGACTTGAGCCCAAATTTGAATAGGCACGCGCCTCTTCAACCGGGTTATTTAGTTTTCTAGCTAATCGAAGATGCTTTGTATGACACTCGACTGCACTATCGAAGTCGCCCTTTGCAAGAAAGACGGCACCCACATTCCCGATTTCGCGAGCCTCTTGAAGCCGATCGCCAATTTGTTTTACCAACTGAACACATTGCTGGTGACTCGCTAACGCATTCGAATAATCGCCAATTGCTGTATATACATGCCCTAGGTAACATGAAAATGAAACAAAGATTAAACACTTTCCAGATGAAATTCTCTGTTTTTTACTTACCTAACGAGGTTAACGCTGAAGCAGCTGCTTCTGAGTCTTTGAATTTCATGGCAAGAACGAGTTGATAACGGTGCGAGGTTAAAGCTTCTTTGTACGATCCTTTGCTGAAAAATGCACTGCCAAGATTACCGTGCGCTCTACATTCTCCCGCCGAGTCACCTGAAATACAGAAGAAAAAAACGGTTGAAATTTGGTTCAACTGGTGGATTTAAAAAAGCGAAAATCTAAGAGTTAGAATTATTGTTCTTTTTTTTTACCTAAACTCTTAGCAACTGCCAAGTCCTGCTGCATATATTTGACCGCCTTATCAAGCTCATTAAGTGCCCAGTAAGCGGAACTCAATGCACTGAACACCGAACCTCTCAGCTTTGGTGAACAGGTGCCGATTCGCAATGCTGATTCGAGAACAGTGACCGCCGAATGATATTGACCAGCTTGTAGTAGCTCTTGACCAACAACCGAAATCACAACGAACGGTGACTAACAAAAAACAATCAAGTAGAAATACATGAAATAATCGAGTGAATTAAACGGGTTAATAAAACAACAATTACCTGATCCAATTTCATTGCACATAATTGATGAAATGTCGGTTCGAGCGCTGAACGCAATGGACTTTTAATCGATGCTTCAATTAATCCACTTAAAAGCTGTTTACTATTTGCGTCTTGTGCCAAACCAGCACTGAATGCTGCAAGCGCTTCGCCATATCGTCGCAGGCATTGTAAAGCAACTCCCTGTCGAAAGTATGCTTTTCCCCATTGTGGACATAATTCTTTCGCTTTATTCGCATCCTGCAGAGCCAATGAAAATTGGCCTTGCTTCAGACGTGCTGCCGAACGATTACTGTAGAGGATGTAGTTGGTTGGATCCAAAGTTAGGGCATCCGTGTATAGTGCCACTGCTGTGGGAAAATCCCCATTTTGGCAGGCAGCGTTCGATTGACGCACTTTTTCCAAAAACAGCGCCCGATTGGCAACCGGCAATTGGCAACCGGTGTATTCGGGCGTACAATCCGGTTCATTCTGGGAAATGGAACCACATAACATTACAACAATTTCATAAAATATAAATGAGATTAAATTCACGATGGAGGCGAGAGAGAGATAGAGAGAGAGAGAAATAAATAAAATGAATTATGATTCCCACGATTCAATTTCAAATGGAAATGTGAGAATTTATTCATTTAAATTCTTGGATATTCTATGCTAAAGAGAGCCAAAATGTTTCCGTTGTTCCAGACAAACCATACAGGGCAACATTGGCGAGTTGATTTCAATTTCTGAATCCATAATTCAATCGAAAATACGCCATTAGCTAGGCAGATGCAACAAATATCAATGCTTAGCTGCTGGCGGTAGGTTTGTTACGAAGTTTGATGTTTCACATGTAAACAAAGCATAATACACCTTTTCTTTATCGTGCAAAGTGTAAATTTATCTCTCGAAACTGAAAAATCGGTTCCCATAAATGCGGCGTGTTCCTTGAATGCACGAGAATTCTATTTTATTCGTATCTAATGAGAGAAATGATGAATCCTTCTTCACATCTAAAACAAGCCAAGATAAGATTACATTTGATAGAGTAATAAAGTCGAAACCATCACGCAACATCGTTTGCAATGGAAGATAATGGCTTATTTGTGGCAATCGCTTTTGAAAACTGATTAATTTGTTTCGTGCTAAACGGAACGAAGTTCAAATAATTTGCCTGTTTTTTTTTTTCAACGGAGAAACGGAGATAATGTCTAGAGCATTCATCATTTATTCCAATAAAATCGAAGTCAAAATGAGCCAAATGCGATTTTCATTACATTAAAATGAAATAAAAAAAAGAATATCAAATGCACGTTATAATCCAATGGAATACAAAAAAAAGAAACGGTGAATTCGCAGAAATATTTGAACGAAGGAATTTCATTTGAACTTCAACAAAAGAATGCAATCATTTAGTGGTTTTCAAATGTTTCACTTTGTTGTTGTTTTTTATCTTCGTTGAGCTGAATTTACCCATGATAAGAGAGGGAGAATGGATGATAGAGGAAGAGACAGAGAGAGAATGGTATTTTTTTGTTGCTTGTGTGGCATAGCAATGTAATTAGATATTCGGAATCGTTTATTTATTGTTTATCCACAAAGCGCATATTAGTCTGTCGGTGGGATTGTTGCTTCCATTCGCAGGCTCAACGGTTGTGTGCTTGTGGTTGGGCTATGCACACATTGGATATGGACGATTTAAAGAAAGGCAGAGCTGCACACGGAATGGAAAAAGAAAGAAAAACTGCATGTTCTTCGTGATCATCATTGCGCAAAAATGTAGGTAGATATGTTCATTGTGTGCTGTTTCAGGTATATTTCTCGTAGTGCGTCACGATTACACAATAATTTACGGTACTTTATAGAAATATGTAAATGTTTTTATTTTGTAGTTGCCTTTCCACGTCTTCATTGGATCCATTTCATTCCTTGTGCCGTGATGACGATTACATCATGGGCATTCGAATCGAATACGAATGAAAAGAAAGACGTGGGCCAACAGGCATCCGAACGATCGCGCGCGCTCACACGCTAACAAACATATTATTTTCATCGTAATGCATCAATCGAAAGACGTGATGAGTTCGGCAACGAAGACGGAAAACACTCTCTTATTAGATCGGAATGTGTGCAATAAATTCGATAAAATGATTTTAATCCGCACAACTTGACCCCGACGACATTCGTCAAGAGAATTTTAAGGAGAAAACAAAGCCAATGATTACATTCATTCACTGTCATATAGTATAGCATGGTTTATCCGGTTCAACTCGTTCCGTACGACGTGTGGTTAATGCACTTACCTCTGAAAAATCTCTCTGTGACATGTTCCTTGGTCCATAAAAACGGAATTTATTTCTAAAGTTTCAAGCGAATCCAATTTTTTATGTGTATTCGATACAAGGGATTTCTGCAAAAAGAAAGAGGAAAAAAGTTTTAGTTGAAATTTAGTTTTGAAAATATTTCAGCGGAAAGTTTGTTTTTACTGAACATCATTCCGCCAATGTTTTTTTTGGGGCAAACAATGTGTATTTTGGGCAAACCTTGAAAAAAAATACAAAATATCATTTTTTCCATCAAACTTGAGGATTACTCATAAAAAGAGAAAATAAGAATAAAAATAAAGTTCAATAGAAATGTTTGAGTTGCATTCCAGGCGTTTACTAGAGAGCGTGCTGTTCATCGCAACATTCTGGTGATATAAATCGACCTTGATATTCGATTGCTAGATTGACATAATCAATTGTGAGTAATTGTGAGTGCAAAGATCATAATCAATTTGTTTTCATCAAGCCCACGCTGAATTCACAATTGTGAACCGAGAACAATCGAAAAAAGAATGCGTGAATACAAGATATTGATTGTATTTTTTAGGCAAAATCCATTGGGGGTTTTTCTGGTGAAATCAATGGTCTCTCGAAAAAACGTGGGCTTTATCGGGAAAACTGTTTCACATTTGGGCGATGAATGAGATTTAATAACAGAGGATATGCATTATTTGCATATTGTATCGCCACAGTATCGCGTAAGTTTGGCTGTGATCGTTTGTAAGTAAACTTTTTTTTTCAAACTGTGCGGCAATATTTGATCCAATGAACTCAGAAAGTGTGAATTAGAAGGTTTCTATTGCAGACGCTCGCACTTTTATTGCACAAAGAGTAAATTTCCCTTGAAAACTGAATTGAAGCGCAAAAAAAAGAGATGCCACAGTCATTTGCACCGATCAATCTCCGATTAAAGCGTGCGATTGTGATTACATTAAGCTCGGCTTATGGGTGATTTTATCGGGTTTGAACTGCCTTTCAACATCGTTTTATGCAAGCATATCATTTAACGATCGCCATAAATAAAATTTTGAATGCATTTTTTCATGTGCACCGTTCATGTTGCTTTTTTTCGGTTCCTGCATACGGTTTTTTTTTTGTTGCTTTCTGCTCAATGACTGTGTGTTTTTCTTCGTTTCTGCATATCTTTGTTCTGTCATTTATTCTGGCATTCATGCGCGTTCACAATGCACACAATGACACAATGCAAAATGTGTAGCTAGTAAGCCTATCATCGCAGTGTTTTGTTTCGATTTTGATTTCCTTAACGCAGCCGCATGCAAGTTGTCGAAGACAAGGACTTTTTTTTTTAGCGCGAATTCCTTTTCTCTATCTGGTCGTTCAGCCTGCTCTTTTGTCAACAGAAGATTTGCCGTCATGCATATATATTTTCATTTTCATTTCATTTGCATGGGCCGATCGAGCCGTCGACGGTGCACATCGTCAGAAGAGGTGAACGCGCGAAAGCGATGTGCAGGAATTCAGCTTGTCGCATTTGTTTGTCGATTTTCTGGTTCAGCTAACAAAGTCATTATTTATGTGTACTTGAGCTGAATGCATTTCCTTCAGCAACCAATTCAAACGACAAACATCGCAATTCTGAAACGCTACGAAATGTGCAGCAGCAGATGAAAAAAAAAACAGAAAGAGAAGAGAAAACCAAACAAATAGGAGCACAATGACAAACGCGGAGCCGAGAGAAAAAAATGTGCAGAGGAAAACCGAGTTGCCACAGTAAAATTTACCACATTTCAAAACCGATGTGAATCGATAACAAATTTTTTTTTTCATTCTTGTTGATCTCATTCGGCTGTACCGACAGCAAAGCCACACCATACAATTACAAAGTGGATTAAAATTTACAATCGCAATGAAAATCAATAAATTTTGTGCAAAGATAATGTAACCGTTCGCGTGAACAGCAAGTCGACCAAACGAAAGAGGATGTAACATGGTTAAAAAAAAAATAAGCGCGTACACACAGGGAACAAGAGAGAAAAAAAAAAAATGCAAGAAAACAACGAATTTAATTTCGTTAGTAATAAAAAGTCATACAATAAATAATAGCTAATAATATGTGCTTGTACACAATGTAAGGAATTCGCACAACAAACGTATTTAGCAATCAAAATCAAAATAATGGATCGAAAACTGAAAACAAAATACGGCAATTGCCGGCCCATATTCTATATTCATGGAACGCACGGCATTGGCCAATCCAAGAACAGGAGATGCAACCGAAGAACATGAAAAATCGCAATACCAATGTATAAACGCGAAAATAATTATATTTAATAACATGAAAGCAGCGCTCAGCAATCTATCTCCCTCTCTCTCTCTCTCTCTTTCTCGTTTTGCGTTGTTTTCTTCTTCTCTACTTTGGAATTATTCCAACAACATATTTAATCATTTCATTTTTCGTTCTCATCGTATGAATATTCTTTAATTCTTATTTATTTTGTGTGTACTTGTTGAGGTCTCTTTTGCTCTCCCTCTCTGTTTCTCTCTCTCTCTCTCTCTCTCTCTCTCTCTCTCTCTCTCTCTCTCTCTCTCTCT